CGACTAAATACCTCTTTGAACTGTTCTGACTATGACAATTGGACTTTTAGAGGTTATTTTTTAAATGTTGATTCATTTTTTTTGGGTGGGTTTCTTTTTAAAAATTATACACTTCCCCACACACACATGCACACGCACATATACATATTTTAAACATTCTCTACACCTTTTTTAAAACTTGTTTTGTTAATGCAATATATATACACATACATACATACATTTGAAATATTAAAAAACTAACATTTTTGTCTTGACGGGCGCCAGGTTTGAAGAGTTCCTGGCACGCAAGTGGTCGTCGGAGAAACGCTTCGGCCTGGAGGGCTGCGAGGTCCTCATCCCGGCCATGAAGACCATCATCGACTCGTCCAGCGCCATGGGCGTGGACAGCTTCATCATCGGCATGCCGCACCGAGGTCGCCTCAACGTGCTGGCCAACGTCTGCCGCAAACCCCTGGAGAAGATCATCTGCCAGTTTGACTCGAAGCTGGAGGCGGCTGACGAGGGTTCCGGCGATGTGAAGTACCACCTGGGCATGACCAACGAGCGGCTGAACCGCGTGACCAACAAGAACATCAAGATCGCTGTCGTGGCGAACCCAAGCCATCTGGAGGCCGTGGACACCGTGGTTCAGGGCAAGGCCAAGGCTGAGATGTTCTACCGTGGGGATACCGATGGGAAAAAGGTGTGTAAATGGGCTGATTCACCAATGTCATGCTCATACTGTGCTGGAACAACATAGGGGGAACTGCTGCTTTTTCTTTCCTCATCCTTACTATCGTCATTTTCCTCTACTTCTTTTGTATGTTTATCACACTCTTGTGACCCGCTATTTCCGGGGTGCCTTGATAGTCGAAGCAGACTTTGTGCTGTTGAGGCTAGAGAGGTGAGCAGAGTAAGTCTGATTCCCTGTTTGGACTTCTCTGTTGACATCCACCCCTTGACGCTCATGTGACCTTATGCAGTTGCGAGTGCTGTAAAAACCTCACTAAGTGGGTGGTTGACGGGGGCTCTGGTGTGGTTTGCTCCTTCTTTCCTATCAAACATCTCTGGTCCTGATCTCTCCTCCTTCTTTTTTTGTGTTTGTTACTCTCTTGTAACACCTCTAATCTTTGGCACTTATATGACCTTATTGTGTTGCTAGTTCCGTAAAACTTTTACTAAAACTAAAAAAAACCTTACTAAAACTAAAGGACAAATGATCTATACCCCCCACCCTCCTAAAAAAAAAAGCTTACTTGAACAAAAAAAAACCTTACTACAACTAAAGTACACCACCACGACGCCACCACGGACTCACGGGTTCTGGACTGCTGTGTGTGTCCTCAGGTGATGCCCATGCTCATCCACGGCGACGCGGCGTTCGCGGGCCAAGGCATCGTGTACGAGTGTCTCCACCTGTCTGACCTGCCGGCCTTCACCACCCACGGCACCATACACATCGTGGTCAACAACCAGGTGGGCCGCCCGCTGTCTCCATCATCATCATTATTAGCATCATTGTTATTATCATTTTCATCATCATCATCGTCATCATCATTATTATCATCCTCATCACCATCATTATCATCATCATCATCATCATCATCATCATCATCATCATCATCATCATCATCATCATCATTGTAAACTTGAAGGTTTTTTTTTAAATGCAAAAAATTTGTGTGGACTGTAGAAGTTCCATATTTGTACCTGTCAAACGTCTGGTTTTTCCTATCTCTTCTTGTATCTGTGTGTTACTCTCTAGTCAAACGTCTCTTTTTTCTTATCTCTTCTTGTATCTGTGTGTTACTCTCTACTATCACCTCTAGTCTTTGGTACTTTTTCTACCTATTTGTGTCGGGAGTGCTGTAAAACTCTTACTAATACTAAAATTAAACTGTTCATGTGGGTGGCTGGTGGGTGCTCTAGTGTTGTTTGCCCTTCCTTTTCTCCTTTCAAACATTTTTGTCCTGATCTCTCTTTTTTTTGTGTTCTGTGGGTGGGTGGTGGGTGCTCTGGTGTGGTTTGCTTCATCTTTCCTATCAAACATCTATTGTCCTTATCTCCCCTCCTTCTTTTTTGTGTTTATTACTCTCTTGTAACACCTCTATTCTTCGGCACTTATGTGACCTTATTGTGTTGCAAGTGCCATAAAACTCTTACTAAAACTTAAAGAACCTCTAATCTTCGGCACTTGTAAGACCGTATTGTGTTGCAAGGGCCGTAAAACTGACACTATAACAAAAACAAAAGCTAACTGTATCCGTTGCCTGTTTCCCCCTGACAGATCGGCTTCACCACCGACCCCCGTATGGCACGCTCGTCCCCGTACTGCACAGACGTGGCCCGTGTGGTCAACGCTCCCATCTTCCACGTCAACGCGGATGACCCTGAGGCTGTCATCTACGTGTGCAAGGTCGCTGCAGAGTGGCGGGCCCTGTTTGGAAAAGACGTCGTCATTGACTTGGTGAGATGTTAACCCTATCCGTACGTCGTGTTTTACTATCGTATCCATATGACGTGGGGAACTCTGTGCCACCACTTTCCAAAGAAGAAATTTACTCATTAATCCAATCCGTACGCTTTGCATAGCAGTCTGTCAAAATGATTTTTTGGAGGCTCTCGTCTTGATTTACCTCTGAAACCAGGTGAGCCACACCTTTGCCAATCGGAAATACCTCGATTTCTATTCAAGATAAGTAGGTATTTTTTCATGGAATGCAAGACAAATGAACAAGCTTTAAGGTGATACAATAGAACACGGCCATAGCGTGACTTTTGGTTCCTGAAGATGTTGGCGAGCTCCTGCTAGAGGAATGCAAGGGAGAAATTACTGGAAAATTTCTAAAAATCCTCATGATTACATCACTTCCTTGTCAATAAAATTCACGCTTTAGATTAGTCTTCCTTTTCTTGTTGACTGTTGATTATCTCGACCTTTACTTCGAGTGAGAAGCAATTCCTTTTGTCTTCGTTGGACGCCGTCTTTTCCTGGGTCTTGTTGCTTGTGCTGTCTCACGCATCTCTCCGCTCCATCTCTCTCTGCCGCCTGCCCCGCCTCACTCATCACTGGACTGGCCAATCACAATGCTGTCCAATCACAATGCTGCACCTCTGACTGCCTGTTTGGAGCCCACATACAACTCTCACACCCCCCCCCCCCAAGCTAGAGCTCGCTCCATCTCTCCTGCTGTATCCGAGCTCGGGCCTTTCCTTTCCCCGCTAAATCAGAGCACAGTTAATTGAGTTTACATCGACAAAAAAATGTGATTCCGGTGAGGTCGCGCTGCAGTGGGTACCACTGTAGTCATGTTCTACTCTACCATTAACTCCACATGACCAAAAACAGACAAATGCCTGATTCCACCATGTGAAGACACATCTCCTCATCCCCTCATCCCCTCCTCCCCTCATCACCTCATCCCCTCATCACCAGGTGAGCTACCGTCGCTTCGGCCACAACGAGATAGACGAGCCCATGTTCACCCAGCCCCTCATGTACAAGAAGATCGCCAAAATGCCCACGGTGCTGGTGAAGTACGCGGAAAACCTCATCCACAACGCCGTGGTCACGCAGCAGGAGTACGAGGTCAGTGTGTGTGTGTGCAGGGCAGGCGTGTGTGTGTGTGTGTGTGTGTGTGTGTCTGTGTGTGTGTCTGTGTGTGTGTGTGTGTGTGTGTCTGTGTGTGTGTGTGTGTGTGAGGTGGGGTATTCTTACTATTATTGTTATTATTATTATTATTATTAATATTCTTCTTCTTCTTATTATTGTCTTTACTATTCTGACCATTCTTGTTATTAATACTGTTTTTATTATTATTATGATCGCTGTTCTCCCTACTGTCATTCCTCTGTACTCACCATTCTTGTTCCTGTTGCTGTACCAGCGGGCATCCCCAGGAGGAGAGCCGAGCCCCCCCCGGGGCAGTGCTACTGACTGAAGTGTCTTTAGGCCATTCCCAAAGGGGGGACATTTCTCGTTCAAGCACAGTAGAATTGTAAATGGGCTGATTTATCAATGTCATGTTCATACTGTGCTGAAACAACAAAGGGGGAACTGCTGCTTTTTCTTTTCTTATCATTACTATCGTCATTTCCCTCTACTTCTTTTGTATGTTTGTCACACTCTTGTGACCAGCTATTTCTTCTGTGCCTTGATAGTCAAAGCAGACTTTGTGCTGTTGAAGCTAGAGAGGTGAGCAGAGTAAGCGAGATTCCCTGTATGGACTTCTCTGTTGACATCCACCCCTTGGCGCTCATATTACCTAACGCAGTTGCGAACGCCGTAAAAACTCTACTAAAACTTTTTTTAAAGGCTAACTAAAAACTGTAAAAAAGAATGGTAGCTTTTGCCTTTTCATGGAGAAAAATCTGGCTTTCCCGAACTCTGTGAAATGTCTTGGTTTAGCTGTGTCTGCTTGGTACAACCATCACAGCACAGGGGGTGGGTGGTTGGCGGGTGCTCTGGTGTGGTTTGCTTCTTCATTCCTGTCAAACATCTATCGTCCTTATCTCCCCTTCTTCTTTTTTATGTTTGTTACTCTCTTGTAACACCTCTAATCTTGTGGCGCTCATATGACCTTATGCAGTTGCGAGCGCTGTAAAACCTCTACTAAAACTAAACTAAGCACCACAGGGGGCCCACGGATTTCTATCAGTGTTGACACGACGGCCGACACCAGACTTGAACCACGCAGAGAAAAGTGTCAGTTTGTGTTGTGTGTGTGCAGGTGCGGAAAGTAGTACGGACGGTCTCTTTTCTGGTGAGGTTCATGTAGCCTTTCCCAAAGTTTGCTGTACGTTTAGCCTCTGTGTAAGTGGGAATTGTTTTCACTTGTGATCAAAAGCCGGCTTAATAACATTGATAAAGATGTACAGGTCTAGCTTTTTGGCTTGGGAAGTAGAAGAGGCAGTTTTTGTTTATTCATGAAGCGATTTGTGAAGGAATTATTCCGTTGTAATGATTTCGGGGGTTTTTTCTTCATTTTTGGGGGTTTATTTTGCTGCTTCGTTATCCAGATGTTATTTACATTGGCGGAATTTTTTTTAAAAAAGAGACAGGACGGGGAAACCAGACCTTTTCTCTGCGCGGCTGAACGACACGGCCGTCTGTGGTGTGGCTGCTACCTGCTTGGCTGTCACTTTCAGGGGACCTCAGTTCCATTCCGGAGTGGGAAGAACGTTTATTGAGTATCTCAGGGTTTTTTTTGCCTGGATGTTCTCGTGGATTCGTTATATTTCTGATTCCGTTTGACGACGACACGCGGACAGATTGGGGTTTTTGCCCCCACCCCCTCACCTCCTTTGCCCCCTCCTCTGGGCTCCTGACTCTTTCTGCAGCCTTTCTACTGCTACTCCTTGGCTCCTTCTTACTGCTGTCTTTCTGCCACACCCCTGATCTTATGGCAGGTAAAATCTAACACCCGGCCTACTCGGATAAGGACGAAAAATTTCGAAGGTCCCGTGTGCAAATTGTGCACTTTAAAGATCCCTTTGTTTGCCGAAATCGATAAGAGTAGGCTTCGGCCACCACCTTGGCAAAATTCGAAATTAATTCCTACCAAACTGAAAATATATAATGTGTCCCACATACTGATAGTTGCGAGCACCGTAAAGCGCTTTTCAAAACAAAGGAAACGAAAGTCAAAGCAAAATCAAAACTGAAAAAGTCGAGAGATCTGAGAAAATCAGGTTTGCGTATTTCCCTGTTTTTTCTTATTGTATGCCTGAATAATGTGATTAGGCCGTTTGCCGAGACTTTGGCTTGAATAATGTGATTAGGCCGTTTTGCCGAGACTTTGGCTTGAATAATGTGATTAGGCCGTTTGCCGAGACTCTCGCTTGAATACAGTGATTAGGCCGTTTGCCGAGACTCTCGCTTGAACTCTACGGGGTTTTTTAAGCCTTGAAATAGCTTACCTAACTCGTTTGCCAATTCATAAAATTTATCCTTGAAATAGTCAAACATTGCAAACTTTGTGAAGAGTTCTGAGGTGGAACATTGTTGTTGGTTGGTGTGAAGGAATGTACAAGTGTGCGTTCTGTTTGGTTCATTTGGCCTTTTTTTGCTTTGCTTAATATGTCCAAGCAATATCTTGACCTCAAGGGGCTAAATAATACATCCCCACAAAAACACATGCGAGCACACATACACACTCACTCTCACACACACATTCCCACGAACACATGCGAGCACACATACACACTCACTCTCACACACACATTCCCACGAACACATGCGAGCACACATACACACTCACACTCACACACACATTCCCACGAACACATGCGAGCACACATACACACTCACTCTCACACACACATTCCCACGAACACATGCGAGCACACATACACACTCACTCTCACACACACATTCCCACGAACACATGCGCGCGCACACACACACCAAAGTTTAAATGCAGCAAAGCAAGTAAACGAGTTTTTTCACTTTGAAATACGTTGGGCTTGCATGCGCCCCCCCCCCTTTGAAATGAAACCTAGTTACAATCCATGTTTGGTAAGGAGTATATTCTAACAGAAATATTAATTTTCCTTTCAGTCCACAAAGGTTTGTGTCTCTCCAGCTAGCCTTAACCCTTTGTGTCCGTGCGGGTAACGACAGCGTTTTACTGCTATTCAAATTGCTGCATTTGGCACAAAACATTTTTCGATTCCGCACCGCTTCCCTCATCCAGAAAAACTGGATAACTGTAGCGTGAATGAGATATGTGCGGACCACTGATCCGGGGTCGGACCACTGATCCGGGCTGTTTTCTTTTCTTTTTCTTTCTTTTTTTCTTTCATTTTTCCTTGAAAAAAAAAAAAAAAAAATTTGGGGAAAATTTGAGATATGGTTGTACCGTCATGTCCTGTTTTTTCACGGACTGGCTCATTTTCCCCACCTTTTTTCTTCTTATTTGGAGTTTTTTCCTTTCGTTGAGAACATATAGCATGTACCATCCTTCTTTTTTTGTCTTTTTTTTCTGGTATTTATGAAATGAGCAGTTTCCCCTTACATCATTTGATGCTTTGAAAAAATAAAGTTGGGAAGAAGAGGAGAAAGTTGATATGTGTTTCTTGCCGTGCTGAACGTAGCATTCACCGAACCCCAACCCTGGAGAAAATGGGGGCGGTTAGGTTTTGAAACATTTTCGACCAATTTCTTTGTTTTACGTCTTTTTTGTTCATGATGTTGTAACGGTGAAGTCAGTGAAGGAATCTGGGAGTGTTCTCCGATCCAAGCACGGAGTCTTTCTTTTCCTTGTTATCATTCTTTTGCAAAGTATATTGAACACTCAGCAGTTTGAGAGCTCTAGTATCTTTGTGAAATGCCAGCTTGATTTATTATAATATGGGGTGCCCATTGCGGATGGGATGGGGTCGGGTCAGGTTGGGGGCGATCGCCCCTCTCATCGCCTGAAAACAAACGTGTTTGTTTTCCAAGTTAGCGAGGTGGGCACGATCGGCTTGTGCCACGATAGCCGCTGTGTTCCGCCCCGCCCCGCCCCGCCTTGCCCCGCCCACACCCAATACCCCAATGGGCTCCGTGTATTAGAATTGAATTGGTGAGAAGCAAATTTTAAGCCAAGTTCCTTTTCGTCCACTTGCACAGTTTGATTTGACGGAGGGATATCTGTGTGCATGGACTGTACATTCTTGTTTCTCGGTTTTGATTTCTTGTCATAGCACATCGTCAGACACCGTGCACCCTGTGTCTTTCTCGTCACAGCACATCGTCAGACACCGTGCACCCTGTGTCTTTCTCGTCACAGCACATCGTCGGACACCGTGCACCCTGTGTCATGCTGTGGGTGTTCAGCTACACGTACGACTACTTCGTGTCAATCGAGTTTTTCATCACTTCAGCTGTTGTTCGGTACAGGGATATTTTTTTTTCTGCAGCTATGAAAAACTTAGTGTGTGTGTGTGTGTGTGAAGCCAAGTAATCTTGTTCAGAGATCAGTTTTTCCGTCCTCATGATGAGGAAACCTTTTCCCCCCTTAAGCCACAGCGACCTGTTGTATGGTGCGTTTTTTTTAACCTCTTCATTGCTGAGACCTATCCACCAACAGTTGTACAGACAACATAAAAAGTTCATTTGAGAGAGACATGGCCACAGTATATTTCCCCTTTTTATTCAATGAAACAAAACTTGGCTATGGTAATTCCATCTCCTTGCACTTCCCTGTAAACTGGTCAACAGATTCTGGGAAGAGAACTAGCTTTGGGGGAATACAGAGCAGATGGTCCACACAGCGGTGGAGAGCTTACGGTCACTTTGTACTTGCTGAATGTACATTCTGGCCTGAAAGAGTTGTATATGTGTGTGCACAGATGAAGCAATTTGACAGACGGGATTCATACTCTGGGTGGGTGGTTGGCGGGTGCTCTCATGTGGTGTGCTCCTTCTTTCCAATGACATCTATCGTCCTTATATCTCTCATCCTCTTTTTTTTGTTTCTTGTTACTCTTTCAAGTTTTGAGTTGTGTTAGGCTTTTCCTTTCATTCATGGACGTGAGGTTTGAACTCCCCGCGGTCTGTGCTGTGGCGGTTCGGCTGTTTGCCGACACTTGGGAGTTCCATTCCCCGCGTGGGGATTTTCTCTCTAGTCACGCACGTATCTCCTTCTGTCTTGTGGGACGTTGTGTCCCTCTCAGTCCCTGTCGGTCGGCCGTGACAGGCAGGAAGGTTGAACCGGCCCACCTCTTCAATGACCTAAATAATGTCAGGTGGGAGGAAAAACATTTAGATATTTTTTCCAACAGTTTGAACTTATCAGAATTGTTGGATAGAGCTTCAGCTGAATGACGTTGTCACACGTTCCCCTCAAGGGGAGATAATGAGGCTCACTACGTCTTAACTTTTGAGAAATGTTCGCTTTTAAACATACGGGGCTATACCGAAAAATGCTGTTTTGAGAAAATCAAAGGTAAAGTTTTTGGACGCTCTTACAGTTTCTTTCAAAGACGAGGAGAGTTTTCTCTATTACCAAACAAATATACACACCAATGAAACCAAACTTCTCCTATAGGTAGGGCAATGCCCACTTTTGGTGTAGGTAGGTCAAAATTTCTGGAAACCCCCGAAGTCTGGCTTAGCCCGCTTGTCCTTAAAAGCGACCAAGTATGAGGCCCCCCCCCCTTTCGCGTAGCCTGTCTTGTTATAGATTTTCGTCCTACTGTACAGCTTTGTGTTGTTCTTGTGACTAGGTAGATCAAGGAAGTTTTTTCCCTTCCAAAAGATTTGTTGTTTCACACGAACCATTCCTTTTGTTGTTGTTTTTTGTTGCTCTGTTTCCTTTTTTTCTGTTCATCATTTCTTTCTTTTATTTCTCTTTTCTTTTCTGTTAAAAAAAATGTTTCTATTCTTTTCTC